ATACTACTTAAAAGCACAATAAAAATGTCAATTCAATTTGCTGCAGTAGTAAAAAATCAAATTCAGTGTTAGGAATTGTTTAATAAGTCAGAAAATAAAGGATAAGACATTATAAAGGCATTATAGGGATCTATACAAATAATTCCTCTAAAACTATTGCAGATTGATAAAAAGTGCAAAGAAGTGTAGTAAAATGCCAAGGTAGTTGACAAAATTTTCTATTAAAAAAATAGGCAAAAGTAATAAAGATAGAAATTTTATACCTCCCATTGCAGTGAATGAAAAGAGAAAAAGCATTCATTTAAAAAATATTAGACATGGTTATCCAGTGAAATTAGCTGTTTTATGGAGTTTTTTTAATTACTATTAATTCACAAAGTAGCGGTTCAGTTTTATGGAATTCATTATTATCAAATATTACAATTTTAGTTAAATTAATAAAAATTATGGAAGATAGGAATCAAAATGGAATCATTATAATCATGTCCTGTACTGTCATAATTATGCTGGATTCATACATTGATTTAAATTATAACTTATTAATCATAATTTGCTGAATAAACTAAAATTGACAATGATTATTTAAAATTAAAAAGGTCTGGGGCCTGCAAGAACTGAATTTACAAAAGAGGCCTTGCAATCATTATTTATTTATTTTTAATATATTCATAATGTTAATTTCCAGGACTGCCCCTTGTCAGTGATTTGGATTAAAGGATTAAAAAACAACATAAAAATCTCTAATAAATGATGAGAATGGCAAGGGAAGAAAAACTTCAAGTTAAATATAGCTATCTCTGAGAGCATATGCCTACTCTGTCCTAGCTTTCCTGAAGAAAGACCCAGATCTCCAGGTATCTCTTGTAGAACAGCAGGATTCAATCATATAATTTCTACTTTGTTTTTTTTTTCTCTAGGTATTTGTACAATAATAGAGAACACATGATGTGTTACAAACATTAGACTACAGATTCTACCATTTCCACTCAACTACATTCTTTCCATTTTCGCTATGAGGCTATTGTATGCGTCTAGAATATTATATGCAGTTATTTCCAAGGTGTAGTTTACATTCACAAATAGCTATTAACCATAGTTTGTGTAAATTATGATGGCTAAGATACATCTGAATGAAAAGATAATATACTCTCAGGTGAAAACCGAAGTACAACCCTTAAGAAATTATGTAACAGATGTAATAAATAGTAATCATTTATGTATGGAATAATTTGCCTATTAATATTAAAATGAGAAAATTACTTTAAATTTGGGAAAGAGAATTTAATTTAGCTGATTTAAAAATTTGACTAAATATTTAGAGCAACAAATATTAGGGGACTGGAGGCTAAAGCATATAAGGAAAGGCTGCTGGACTTGGGTATGTCTAGTTTAATGAAGAGAAGGACGAGGGGGGACATGATAGCAGTATTCCAATATCTCAGGGGCTGCCACAAAGAGGGAGTCAAGCTATTTTCCAAAGCGCCTGAAGGCAGGACAAGAAGCAACGGATGGAAACTAATCAAGGAGAGAAGCAACCTAGAACTAAGGAGAAACTTCCTGATAGTTAGAACAATTAACCAGTGGAACAACCTGCCTCCAGAAGTGGTGAATGCTCCAACATTGGAAGTTTTTAAGAAGAGACTGAACAGTCATTTGTCTGAAATGGTATAGGATTTCCTGCCTGAGCAGGGGGTTGGATTAGATGACCTCAAGGTCTCTTCCAACATTATTATTATTATTATTATTATTATTATTATTATTATTATGGATCATCGCACAGTCAGCCAGATGTTCAGACTGGATTTGGCATTTTGTCTACCTATCAAGTCCTTACCCAGGACCTGGGATAGGCAGATGTGGATGTTTGATGGTATTACAGGTATCGTCACAGGATGGAAGCAGTTCCTATTAAGGCCGCCTTTTGCAATTGACTAATAGTGAATTTGTCAATGCCAATGGTGTTCAAGTGGTGCTCCAGTTGTTTTGGGATTGCACCCAAGGAGCCTATTACTATTGGTACTACCCTTGCTTGCTTTTGCCACAGTCTTTCTATTTCTATTTGTAGGTTTTTGTATTTTGTTATCTTCTCCAGTTCTTTCTCGTCTATTCTGCTGTCTCCAGGCACTACCATGTCCACTATCCAGACTTTTTTGTCTTTCTTATCGACAATTGTTAAGTCTGGGGTGTTATGTTGCAGGTGCTTGTCTGTTTGCAACATAACACCCCAGACTTAACAATTGTCGATAAGAAAGACAAAAAAGTCTGGATAGTGGACGTGGCAGTGCCTGGAGACATTATTATATTATTTATTATATTATATTATTACTATTATTATTATTATTATTATTTTGTAAACATTACCATGTTCATTGGGACAGGTTTACAGGGAGATCTATGCTCATTAATTATAGATCATCTTTTTGTCTAAAGTGACAAAATGTCTTCAGGTAAATCATATATGAAAAAAGCAAACCAAACAATATTAACATCCATGAGAAGACTTTACTAGTTAACAGCTGTTAAAAGGCTCATGTTTTAGATTTGCAAAAGCAACTTCTATTTAATCATAGACCTGGGTTGAAAATATTCAATGATAGGATTCAAAATGACACTAGCTACCTAAGTAATCTAGTTTAACAGTCTCACTGTACATTGTACCATATTTCTTGCTTCAATTTTTAGGCAACTAATCTTATATCACAGGGCTGTTGGAGGACCAGGCTGAGTTGTGGGACCACTGTGGAATGACTTCCATAATGAAGGCTGCTACTATTCTGTGCCTTATTTCAGAGAATGAATGATTAGGCTTATTGTATTGTATAAACTCCACCAATGAGACTTAAATACTCTGGTTTATGCTTTAGCATTTTATGTATGTGAATCAAGCTAATTCTGAGTATAATAGAGTATAATGTATGAATTATGTCATCTTGTCAGCATACGATAATGTATGGATTATGTCAGCTTACTATTTGGAAGAAACGTGGCTGTTTGGCTATCTCTGAGGCTATATATTTATGGATGATAGCTTTTTGTAAATTAGTTTTTTTTTCCGGTTATTTTTCTACCCCTCACGATCCTATTGTAAAGTAAAGGTGGCATTAAAATTATAAGACAAATACACATTGTTTAAATTACTTTCAAAAGTAAAAACCTCTTCTCCAAAGATGAAACTATTCCAAAGTGCTTTTTAAGATGACATTTCAGCACAACATTGGGAAAAAAGCTGATATTAAATCAAATCCAATACAGTATACATAATTTATGTGATTCGTCATTATGCAAAAGCATGTTTAAATACTAAACATATATAATACCATACAAATAAATACTTTAAGTGCTATACAAATAAGGAAGGGAATTGAAAACACTATTATCACAATAAAAATTGATTTAAAAGCATAGCCCAGATTTCTTAGGAGAAGAATGAGAAAACTGGTACATATTCCAATGACCATTATAAACCTGTCTGACATTATGCTGCTTGAAGAAAATCTGAATGACATCTTCATAATGATAAAATATGACAGTAGATAATTAATATTCAGTTGCACTTTATTTTTGGTTTCAAGTTTACAACATTTAAACCATAATACATATTGTGCATTTAGTTCTGAATATTTGGGCTGATATGATACTGTTTTTTAGAACTGTTGAGAAGGATGAGCTCTTGACCACTTCTTCATCATACATAAAATTATGAGGTTTGTACTTTCCAAATATCTTCAGTTAAAGATGAAAACTTTTAGTGACAGTTTTGGATACAACATGTAATCTAGAACATGGATTTGAGGTACTTGAATTTCTGTGGAAAACAACAGCATCAGTTGCAAAAACAAAACAAAAATACCAGAATTGACGGTGGGAATTTAGTTCTCGAGCTGTTTGTTTCCACTACTAAAACTAGCAAGTCTTGCTATATAGATGAAATGTTAATTTTCCTATGTTGTGGTTTCGAGCAAACCATCTGAAAATATGAGAATATTGTTGAATGAACTAACATGTCTCTGTCCATATCCAAAGAGTGCACATTAAAATATAATTCTATACTTTAAATCTAGTTATGAGCGAACAGAATTTTAATTTAATTTAAATGAGAATTTACTTTCAAATAATGACAATCTATAATTCTGAAAAGGTGACATGGACAAAGACAATTGCATTACTGTAACAGGATGAAAAAAAAATAAAATAGCATGGCCATCTTTGCATTCTGAGACTAATCTTGGGGCCCAACAGAACTTTTTACCCAGCAGATAGACATCTCTCTGCAATTTGCTTTTAATGCCCTGGGACCTACAGTGAGTATAGGTTATGCACATCAGACAAATTATGCTTTATTTACTTTTATGTACCATTCTAGAATTTACTTTTTCAAGTGTGGGCAATAAAATGCTTCAAATAAGTAGGAAACCTGATATATTTATTACCATTGTATGTAGTTAATACTTTTACAAGTCACTGCTGGAAAATATACCGGTAGATTGTTTCTAGAATTATTTAGCCACTTTTCCTTTTTACTGAAGTTACTTTTAATTATTCCTTTTTCAGGATTAATAATTCAATACTGATATACAAAAAAGTAGTAACTACCAATGTTACATATTGTATTTCTCAAGTACTAGAATCTATGTTTATTTACAGCCATGCTGCCTGATCTGTTTCCTCATATGAACCATGTTCAGTAATGCCTATCCCTTTCTCACACAGTATGGTACCACAAGGCAGCTATAGCTCACTCTCTTGTGAAATCAAGAATTGAGATAGCAAAGAACAATCTGTCTGCAATTGCTTACCCATCCTTTCTTTCTTGAAGACATTTTTTTTAAGAATAGGGAGTGCCAAATTATCCAGAAAAAGAAGTAAAGTAATTTTTTTAATTTACTTGCGTTCTTTTTATATAGTACAAAAGAGCAAAAGCTTGAAAACCTTTTAGGTGCTAGAATGAAAAAAAAAAGAATTACAAACTGCTCAGAGAAAACATGTACGCAAGACAATACTGTCTTTCGGAATCTCATCTTTGCTTTATTTGGCCCTGTGAAACTTCTCCCCCAAAGAGTACAAACAATCATTTCTGCCATGTCATCTTCTTTCTGTGAACAGCAAAAGGGGACTGGCCCAAACTTGATCAATTTCTCTAAATGCTAAACAGATAGTAAAGATATATAAGTTAGGGGTAGCAATTTGTACAAAATGCACTACTCATGAGGATTCTGCCAGCAGGGAGTGAGTTGAGCAAGTGTATTTTTTTTAATTACTGTAAAGTCCTAGAGAAAGAGGAAAGAGAGAAAAATCATGAGCAAGGAAACATGTTAGGGATCTCATGGAAAGAATAACATAAAGTAATACACTGGCTTTTTTTTATCCAGATATCCACAAGGTATCTCTTAACATGAACAGCCATCTGGAAGGTTTTCAATAAGCATCCAATACTGGATGAATCAGTGATAATATATTTGGGCTTCAAAAAACCATATAACCACTAGATAGCAGCAGTGACGGCAAAGAAGCTATTTTTTTTCTCTCTAGTAGTAATTTGTCTTTTTGAGCTTTGGTAAAATATTGTAGCACTAAATATGATTTAACCAGCTCATATTGGGTATTGCCCAACTAGAAAACAAGGAAGCAAATAGATTCCAGAGTGAAAATGCATATAAATAATTTGAAGTGTAGTAATTGTACTTTGTAATCATCACTTAAAAGTGCTATTTTGGTGTGCAGGGGACATCAACGAAGCCATTCCTATATTCCACTGCCCTTTATTCCTTTCAGAATGGAATACCAAAGGAGGAGCAGTCATATGGGCATGTCCAAATCTTCTACCTGTTGACACATCTCTCTTTGTAAGATGCTTGCTGGAAAGTCAGGAAGTGTGTAGAAAAATAAGAGGAAATGTTGACAGCTTTAAAGAGTTACTCTATTCTTCTGTTTGTTTTCCTGCTTTTTGCACAATACTGGAGAAAGGAGAAGGCTCATCTAGCCTAGCATCTATTCATATGGCAAGAAGGAAAGGGAACAAGGTTGAAATTTGGTGCCTCCTTCCTACTATGCTACTCCATCACAGAAAGTACAGGGTCAACTATTTTGGCCCAACACAATTTTGCCTTCAGTTCCTTAAGGTGGGGCAGCCAGAACTGGAGAATGACTATATTTAAGGACTCCCTATAAATCGAAATCGGCTATTTTTATTTATTCTTGGATGATCCCATTTTAGCAGAGCCAGGGACAGGATTCGATTGTACCCACCAGGCACCCTTTCGCTGTCTTTTTGGCTTAATCTTCCAAGCCCAGCCTCAAGTTCTTCGCCTCGATTGGGTCAGCTCTCCTGTTCTCTGGAAGGCCTGCACATGTATACTGTACATACACCCCCCTCCCCACATACACACGTAAATAAATACGTAAATAAATACATACCTCACTGCCCTCCCTTCCCCGTTGGAGTGTTTGGGCTCGGAAAGTGTCCGCAAGAGAAAGCTAGGGCGAGCCCTCTCCCCTTACAACCCGAGTCGCGAGAGCCCGAGTTTTTTGGAATGAGTGTGTGCTGGAAGGAGAGAGAGAGAGATAAAGAGAGAGAAAGAGAAAGAAAGAGAGAGCGCGGCCGGGAAAGGGGGGGGGGTGGAGAGAGAGAGAGAGAGAGAGGGAGCGAGAGAGAGAGACTCAGCAAGCAACTCCTGACAGAGTCTAGCCCGACAGTGCTCCTGAGACTCTTCAGCTGGGAGAGCGTGAGAACGCGAAAGCAGTAATAGCCCTTCTCGGCTCCGGACGTCGCTTCTCCTCGCCAGCTGCAAGCGCCCGACTAGCGCCTGGAGAGAAAAGGCGGGGAGGGGATCCCGGAGGGGCCACAGAGGCACATTCCCTGAATCCAGTTTCTCTCCCTCCACCTCCTCGCTCTCCCCCTCCTCCCCGCTCTCCCCTCCTTTCTTCCTCTCGCTTCCCCTCTCCTTCCTCCGCCTCACTTTCTCCCCCTCCTCCCTTACCTCTCTTTCTCCCCTTATTTTGTCTCTGCTTCCCCTCCCACCCCACTTCCCCCTTTTTATTTTTTTTTTTAACCTCAGCTTTTGCTGGCACTGCACTGCAGCTGCTCCTTCAGCCAGCCGTCCAGCCTGCTTTTTCTCCTCCTCTCTCTTTTCTGTCTCTCCCCCCCCTCCACCCCGTTTCACCGGTGCCAGACAAACAATCGCCTACCCCCACTCCAAGAAAGCATCTTTTTTTTGGGGGGGGGACGGATCGATTTCGCAGATTAGCTTGAAATTTCAGAGGACGGAAGAAAAGCGAAAGAAGCGGGACGAGCCCCCTCCTCCTCCTCCCCCTCCCTGCTCCCCCCACCCCGAAGGGAGAAGCCAGTTATCCTTCTAGCAGCGGCGGCGGCAGCAAACATGATGGCGGCAGCTCCCATCCAGCAGAACGGGACCCATCCTGGGGTACCCATAGACCTGGACCCGCCGGACTCTCGGAAAAGACCACTTGAAGCTCCCCCTGAAGCCGGCAGCACCAAAAGGACCAACACGGGCGGTGGGTATTTTCCCCTCCTCCTCCTCCTCCTGCCACTACCCAATTCCCCACCCACCTTCCCCTTTCCTACCTGCCTCCTCGCCTCGCCTCTCCCTCTTTTCCTTCCCCAAACATTCCTTATTTCTCAAATGTTATCATTCATCAAAATGGCGTCGCCTTTCAAGCATCTAGCTGCCCTGTTTTATTTTAATTTCACATATTCGTAGTGGCGGGGCGGAGGGGGGGGGCTTTTCAGCCTTGACACTCTGGGCGAAGGAGCTCAGAAGTCTTCTTTCACCGACCCTCTTGCACGCGTGGTAACAGTTGGAAGAACTAAACGAATAAATGGCGGCTGGAAAAAAGGCACTTTCACCCCCTGTTCCCTCTTCCCCCTTTTGTGAGTCGCCAGGTAGATTAAACAGCAGCGGCGGCAGCGGCAGCAAAACTTGTCTTATTTCCTGGCACCACTTTCCTTTTCGATGGAAAATGTTGCACAGATTTGTGCTTCCTGGGGCTGGGTCACTGTGATGGGGTGTGTGTAAGCGCGCGTGTGTGTGTCAGAGAGAGGTTTGAGGAGGGAGGGCGGGAGTTGTCTGTCTTGGTGCGGTGACTTGTTAGTTAACATCCTGCTCTTCCTGGATGAGATGAGTTATAACGGGACCAGCATCTCCTCTATTCATTTGCACTGGAGTCTTCATAACAATGCACCGAGGCAGAGGTGAATTTATTCATCCAGCATTAAGAAACAACAGAAGTAGATAGCTGATGTATTTAACGTTTGTATAATGTTGGGGGGGGAGGAGGATGCACCTGTACCAGCTGGGACGTTGACTCTGAGAGAAAGTGAGGTTGCTGTTAGGTGGCTACAAAACAAAAAAATAAAGTTGGGCTGTTTAATAAAGAAGGGTCTTAAAATGTGTGTTGGTTTTTACATGCAATCCTCTCAGAGCAGTTTTTTTTTTCCTAGTCCATAGAATTGATGGTGTAAGTTCTGTGAAGGAAGCAGTACAATTGTTCAGTTATAAAGGGGAAGTTGTTTTATTCATGGTACTTATTCTTACCTATTTTGGGACTTTTTAAACTCTTACTTTGCAAGTATTTACATTAGTCACTTTTTAAATGCAAGCAGGGTTTTAGCTTCCTTTTAACTGAGAAAAATTCTTCTTAATGTCCTTTAATGAGCTTAAGAGATCATTGCTACCAAGAAATGGTGAAGAAATATATCAGGATTACTTGGGCAAATTATCATAACCACATTATTTTGAGTTTTCTTCAGGATAACTTTGAGTAAAGCCTCAGATTCTGGGTTATTTAACAAAAAGCAGTGTATTACTTGAAGAGTATAGGGCAACAATATATAGACTTTAGTTCTAACAATTTTCTACTTTCTTTAATTTTAAGGACTTTGATCTTTCCTGATCATTTTCTTTGCCTCTGTGTGTGTGTGTGTGTGTGTGTGAGCGCGAGAGAGAGTGAAATACACTTTGGCTCATGTTATTGTTAACATGAAGTTAAATAGAGCCATACAGGAACTGTTTTATGCCTGGAATTATAACTTGAATTAGGTCATTGCATCCCATAGCATCTCAAATTTAAGAACAGATATTAGATTAATTTAATATTGGCTAAATAACTACAGTCCGTATAAAAGAACGGTGTATTAGTATTTGTAAGATAAAGGCATATTTTATAGCTCTGAAAGAAAATGTTTTGGAAAATAAATTAACCTTTTGTCTCTTTTTTTCCAGAGGACGGCCAATATTTTCTAAAAGTCCTCATACCTAGTTATGCGGCTGGATCTATAATTGGTAAGGGAGGACAGACAATTGTTCAGCTGCAGAAAGAGACTGGGGCTACTATCAAGCTTTCTAAATCCAAAGACTTTTACCCAGGTAGGTGTAAACCACAGTTCTTTTGCTGAATAATTAAAAAGAATCATCCCACTACCATTAATAGTAAAGTGAATTATCAAATATAATTCTGAACAAATACTGAATTTGACTATTTTTTTTTTAAAAAATCAGCTTATTATCTAGTAGCGACTGTGTTATTCCAATAAATATTTTAAAAATTAGATTTCATCTTTGGTATTTTGTTCAAGAAAATGTCAAATATTATAATCAAAGCCATAAGTTAAAACGAAACCAAACCTGTGTGGTCCTTGTAGAATAGGCCTTTAACCTTAAATTTGCTGTATACTTCGGTTCTGTTTCATTTCTTTGTTCACTTATATTAGTCAAAATAAAAGAGAGGAAGTGGTGCTCTTTAGATATTTCCTTGGTATTTGGTTATTTTAGTTGTGATAGTTAATAGAAACCTATTGTGTAATAATCGACACTAATGAGAAAAGGAAATTGATGTAGTTGTGGGCATAAGCATTAACACTCTGCATATTCACCCCATGCTGAATAATGTACAGTGGTATCATATACATATTTTTTAAAAAATTCTGAATTCTTGCATAGATACTGATTACCTTATATAAATTAAAACAAGTGTTTAATGTTTATAGCAGTAACAGCTGTAGTCCCGATAGTGCATTGATTTTCTAATTCCAACAGTGGTAACTTTGCATTGAGATGGCCTTTTTTCTTGTAATGAAAGGAAAGCTGCTTTGCATTTGCTGATTGTTTTCAGAGATATGTCTGGATTTTAAAATGAGTTTAAAAGGCAATTGTGAAGGTAATTGAAAGAAGCATCAGGAATGTTTCATTTTTTGCAGTCTTGCATTTTGAAGTTTACATTATGTTTAGATACAGATGTTGAGCTTAAGTATTTGTGATTTTATACACAGATATGTTTAGGTGAAATTCCACTAATGAAGTGTTTTAAAATTTGATGATACAGCTTACATAATTTTTGATAGGCATGAAATACAATATATGGTTCACATAATGTACAGATCATAATACTTAAAATAACAACTGTTCTGAGATAATAACTGAGCTTCTAAATTGAATTTGGACACAATAGTTTTTAATATAAATCACATATTTATATGATCCATGAAGAAGATATTTAATTAGAGATGATGGAGTGACGGAACAGATGCTATGATTGGCTATGCAAATTAGAAATTCAACTTAAGTATATACTGCGAGGCAAGATTAGACTTTTGTCTACTACTTTACAAGAATTTCCCCTTAATTTAAATAATCATTAAATGTTTAATTGAATTGAATCCTAGATGCTTATGCAGGCACTTTGCTGAAGCTTCAGCTGAAAGTAGAAGCTTTGCCTATGTTTAATAAAATACAAAAGGGATAGTGAGAGGTTTATCACATTGTGTTCCTGTGTGACGTAAACACATTCCCTTTGAAGGAAATGATAGCATGGAGTTAGCTTGTGTAATCTGTAACAGGTGTAGATGTTACTGAATACCTGAAGTTACACTATAGAATAGCTTTCATAAATTTGATGTACGTGAATTAGATTCTTACCTGAAGAGATGGACATATGTGAAGCACTCAAGTCATTAGTTGAGCTAGAAATTGTTTCCCTTTTAACCATAAGCCTGAAAAATCTTAATCAACTTTAAGCTTTTTTTTAAGCTGTTAATATTTGGCTTTTTTTTCAAACCAAATTTTAAGTTGAATTATACTAATATTATACTACTCTTAAATTAAAATGGATATTCACATTTCTAAGTATAAATTTTAAGTTAATGTGTTAGAGTTCTATATAACTGAATAATTTCATTCTGTGAACTACTTTTAGTATGATTGTTAGTGCTAGAAATGGCTGATACTTAGTTTCATATTTAAGCATTTTTATGTGCATATTGGGAGCATATTGTGCAATAAAATTATGTAAACCCATAATATATGTTTGTATTATGTACTGTATGTGATAAATAGTGATGTGATCATAGCAAATAAAAATACGTCTTTAGATAATGGTTTTAATTAGTCCTGAAAACAGTTTTTTCAAAAAAGCAATTTAAAAATTTATGTTAAAAATTTAATGTAAGTACTTAAAACTTACTGTATTTTCTCATCATAAAATTTTCATTCAGAGTTTAAATGCAATTGGCCAGATATTCAGAATA